CTGGCTCTGCAAGGGGGCTGTCTCTTCTCTTTTTAAAACTTTATACAGTGGCAGGCTCTCTGGTCACCTCCTCAGGCCTCAGAGGAGGACCAGTCCTAATGAGACCTGATAGGCTAGGGTCAATCAGTGGACTAAGGGAGGGGCGTAGGGGAAGAAGAGGGAGGGTGGGAGAGAGGATGGGACTGGGAGGAGATGAGGGAGGGGGGCCACAGCCAGGCTACAAATTGAGTAGATTGTAATAAATGATAATAATAAAAATATATTAACATAAAAATTTATAATGTTTTGAATTTATTCTTTGAGATTTTCATATTTTGATCATATCCACACCCTCCACGTCCACCTCAAGCTCATGCCCCACCTAATTTTGTGTCCCTCTCCCCTTTTAAATCGGTGAATCCAATGACTATATTCATTCTTACACCATTAGCCAGAGGGAGCCTTCCTCCCCAAGGATGCTCTTATCAGGCGTTTGATTACAATATCACGGGAAGTAAGTAGTAACCACTAACTGTGATGTGTGGACACCTTCTTCAACTTCGCTTTAGGCAGTGTTCTCATCATTCAGAATGAGGATAAGGAGTGGAGCAGTTGTTATAAAGGTAGACGAGGTAGCGGCTGCTGGTCTGTTTTAGACAAGAGCTGTGTGCTTCCTTAAAGGATGCTTATCTTCTCTGTGTCTCCATACATTATCTTTGCAAAACCCACAGTTTCCATACGTTCACTATGGTTGTACACAGATGTCACAGTGTATTGGCACAGGGGATAAGTCACGCCTGGGTGCTTGCTGCACACAGATGGGACTACCTCCTTGGTTGTATAGATATTTTGGGAGTTTGTAGCTGAGTCTCCGCCTAGGAGTACGGTACATGTGCAAGAGATCTGTGTGTAAGTTTTGGTCAGCCTGTCTGGCAGGGTTGAATTGAGACATAATTCTTGGTCTGTTTGTGACTCTTTTTTTTTTTTTTTTTAAATGAAAGACATCTAACTGGCTTTATTGATTTCCTATTGAACACTCCACTAACATAGTCTGAGATTTGGAGGCAGATTTTTCTAATTAAAAGATAATAGATTACTTCAGCAATAGTGACTGCAGTGACATTAGGTGGCATTGCTGGTCAATAGGAAAAGAAGGATGGCCCAGTTTAAGTCCCAGCGGAAGGGCTTCTGGAGAGGTTACATAGAATGTATTGAATTTCTTTAAGTGGAAAATAGGCATTAATTAGGACCATCAGGGCCCGGCTGGCCAACGCTTAAAATCGGAAATCCTCGAAAACATTGTAACCCAAGTGAAGGAAGAGACAGCATTAGAAACACTTTCAGATACAGCTTGGCTCTAGGGCCAACGGTGCTTTTCTACAACATGGCACGCGATTATCTGCAGATATTGAAATAAAACTAATTCCATGTTGTAAACAACAAAGCATTTTAAAGCTCTTAGTTAAAAATGCTTCCTACCTTCCTTTGCCATCACAATAACACACTATTATTTTTTTTCTTTATATTTTCAGTCATTTTCCCGTGAAAATGACACCACACCTGGTGTCACTCTATGACACCAGTTTTACCTACAGTTGAGGTAGGGGTTAGGCTCCCGGCTTTTTCAAAGTAAGAAATGGAGTTTTCCTGTATGTACCTGATTCCTTTTCAAATGTAATATTTGATCTCTGCTTTTTATGAATGACCTCATTTTAAACCCCAAAATGTTAAGTCCTGTGATAAGCAGTAAGCCCGTAATCTAACTCTGGAGGGACAGATGTTTTCCATTTTATTGTCTAGGAAATTGTGCAGATGTTCTGAGAATATTTCTGATGCTTAGACCTCTTTGTGTGCTATGGGGAATGTTGGCTTTTCACTCCACTCAAGCGCCGGGGTGGGGTGGGGGGAAGCCTTTTCTGCCATAGCCTCCCTTTGTTAACTTTGTATAATATGTAGGAAAGTGTCCAGACCCCTGCCCGAGGAGCTTCAGTCGGATTGCTTCAAGTTTTGCCTCTGGGCTCTCCCTTATCTTTCCCTGGGTGCTCTCTCTTCAGCTCTTCAGCTCCCTTTGGTGCCACCCCCCTGTCGTCCCTGAAAGGGGTGTTCAGATCTTCATGCTGTGCTACTGGCCTCTCCACACCTCTGAACAGTAACACCACAGGACTCCAGAGCAGTGGAGGCTGAAACTCTACAGGGCCTGAGATCAGATGCCTGGAGAAAATGAGAAGCTGAAGCCACCGAGAAAGCAGCAGCACCCGAGGCCTCAGTTATGGCTGCTGAGGACAGGGAACTCAGGGGGAGGGAGACGTGTCCACCAGGAGAGAAGTCTGTGAACTTGTGGCTGGCAACAATGTATAAACTAATCAATCCACCCAAGCAGGGAGCTTTACATGATCTTAAACTGTCAGCCAGGGACCGGGACCAGGACTCTGACCCCTTAGTATAAGTTCATAGTTTAGTTAAGGAAAGTTGTTTTGTTTAGCTCAAAGTCCAAGTCTGTGCAAACCTCCTGAGGCATGAGTTAATAGGACCCTCTCCACACCTTTCTATCACAATGGCATTTCCAGTCTCTGTAACTGTCATAAGGGCCACCTCCAGCCCCTCGCTCGGTTGGGCCTCTTCTCAGATCATGCTAATTTTAGGTGGAAAGTCTGAACAAAAACTCGCCAATCCCTGGATAGGAAAACCCACTAATCCCTGAGCTTCCCACAAAACCCCACCAGTCCCTGACATGAGAACTCACCAATCCTGAACAGAAACCCCACTAATCCCCAAGCTCCCCCACGTTTAGGACTTGAAATCTCACCAATCTTCACCCTGAAAATCTCTGCCCTAGAAAGCTCCGCCTCCTAAGAAATCCTACATAAAGGCTGTGTCTGCTCAGTTCCCTGCTGCCTTCTCCTGGGAGCAGAAGCGGCCTCTCCTGCTTTCATCTCTCCTCTCCTGGATCCATCCCTAAAAAAAAATCTCCTTGAAGATTTGTTGCCTGTGGCCTGGTAAGGCTGCTCTCCCCTCAGGGGGAGGTGATCAAAGAACAGGCCTATCAGATTATGTCAGAGGCAGTCCCTCTTCCCATTACTATGGAACCCACTTGGACACTACACTGCCATGGGTTACATCTGTGCAGGGGTTTTAGGTTATCTCCATGCATGGTACTTGGTTGGAGTATGACAATGCAGCCACTCCTGATGTATCTGATAGACTAAGATCAGAAGGAAGGAGAGGAGGACCTCCCCTATCAGTGGACTTGGGGAGGGGCATGCGCAAAGAAGGGGAAGGGAGGGTGGGACCGGGAGGGGAGGGGGGAGGGGCTTATGGGGGGATACAAAGTGAATAAACTGTAATTAATAAAAAATAAAATAAAATAAAAAAAGAAAAAAAAAGATTTGTTGCCTGGTGTGACTCTCTCATTGATAGATGCCAAGAAGCAATGAAGAGAAGAATTAAAGAAGGACCGGGGTGTTGGGGAGATTGTTGAGGTTCTGAGCTCCCCTGGGAGCTGAAACATCTCCCCTGAGGTGACCTCCTCTCAAAGCTGTGTGGTCCCTGGGCCCCTGTGTCTCAGGGTGCCCTTCCCTTGGGACACTGTCCCACCTCAGAGCTGTGTG